GCAGTCAACCTCGCGAGCCATCTGTGGTGGCAAGAGTCGCCTGAAGAGGACGCCCCTGAGGAAGCGAAGGAGACTGAGAAGAATGGCGCGAAGGAGGAGGGCGAGAAGAAGGCTGTAAGTCTGCTTGCGATGCTGTAGTTGCTTGAGGATGCTAACCATGGTTGGGCAGTATCCTCTACAGGACAGCAAGCGTGTTCTGGAGTGCCTGCAGAAGGCGCTCCGGATCGCAAACTCGGCGACAGAAGAGATCATTACTATCCAACTCTATTGCGACACCCTCGACCAATATCTGTACTATCTCGACCGCGGCGCCCCAGCGGTAAGTTGCCAGCGTAGCCCGCCTCGTCTCGCGCAGTCTGCTGACGGCACACCTCCTCACCCCCAGATTACACCGAAATTCGTCAACAGCCTTGTCGAGCTCATCACGTCCTCCATCGATAGTATCGCTTCACCTGACGTGCACCCATCACAACGGGCGCCGCCAGGGCTTCTCGAGGGCGTCCAGACCCCCGAGATGATCAACAGACACTTCCGCAACACGCTCATGTACATCCAAACGAAGAAGGCCGCCGCTGCCGCTGCCGCAGAGACCGCAAGCGCAAGTACGACTGATTTGCGGTGGGACGACGTGGACATCGTCGGGGCGATGCTCAAGATGGGTATCCCGACACGATGAACGACGGGCACCCAGCACCCAGCTTTCTGTGTGTAGGAGTAGTAGGACTGTCGCCCATCTTGGGCACTTGAATGCGGCGGGGCGGAAGGGATGGACTTTGCGAGTTGGTTTCTGCGTGGCGATCCGTATTCTATGTTGTCTATTGTGGCCGGTAGATACCTTTATGTCTTTCATGTGTATAATGCACCTTCACATTGCTTCTCTTCTCTTGTTTGGGGTGCCAGTATCACACTGCAGTCGAAGTGCTTCAGAGGGTACGCAGTCGCTACTTAGAGAGATAGCCGATCTTGAGCTTGAGCTTGCACTCAATAACCTATCCACTGCATCCCAGCTGAATACTTACTTATAATCTTCAAGTACTCGATGCCAGTCTCCCCTGATGCGGTCAGTGTGCTTTCGAGGCTGGCAAGGACACTTCGAGGTAACCAACGCCGACTCGGATTCGGACGGTTGGATGAACACGGTATACATTCTGCTATTGTTCTCTCGACGTGTGCACTGATGCCACTCACTATTTACTCGTTACTCCAGGTAAGACCTCATGGGATTAGAGGTGCTCTTGATCGTATAAGCTATGCAGGCGTAATTGGGTCGTCTCATCGGAGTCAAAGCGCGTTATTACTAGTATCGCCAGTCATAGGATAATCTGCATAGCTCCGAGTCTAGTGTAGTCCGAGTCGCGTCGTCGCAGGGCCACCGCTACATGACATACTCAAACCAAATGCTCTCGTTCGGCACGGGAACCCCATGCGGCGGCCATTCTCCTGGTCCATACTCACGTATGTATGCCTCCCGAGCAAGCTGCTTCCGCCTATTCCCGGCCTTCAAGTACGCAAGCGACGCCCCGGCGCACAGGATGATCCCGATCTGGATGCGAGCAGCGTGATCGTAGCGGCGGTGTATCCTGGAGGTCCGGATAGCGTTCCATATGACCACACCGACAAGATAGCACCGAGTTCCGAGACCTCACTAGTGAAGGCGATAGCTGACGTGCGTCGAACGAGAGGGGCCGTGTTGTTTGCTTGCCATGTGGCAAGAGCGGGGTTTAGTACACAGCAGGTCCCAGAGACGGCGAGAATCAGCGCCAGGTAGCGTATAGAGTGATCGCCGGACGCTAGATGGGAATTGAGTTGGACATGTCACACACTGACCTCAAATGCATTGGCTCACCGATGTATATCGCGAAGCCCGCAGCTGAAATAGCGGCGCTGATTACGGTGGTTAAGCCCCGACAGCCGTATCGGTCAGAGACCAGGGAGGCAAGGAGAGCCTAGACTGCAAGGAAGTCAGCGATGTCAATATCGAAGTCCAGTCGGTGTGGAATTACATGCGGCGCCGATGGCAAAAGGTGGGACACTCATAAGCTGCGTGTTTGTCCCTTTGAAGCCTAGACCCGCGACAATGGTAGGCAGGAAGCTGAGGTTCCGTCAGACATATGTCCTTCCTAGGATATCCCAGGCTAAACTACGCACTATGAAAAGCCGCCTTTTGTGACACCTGTTGTTAATCGTTGATTCAACCGGAAGCAATGATAATTCACGCGACGTACACACGAGAAACCCGGCCAATGCGTTCAGTAGGACGTGAGGCTGCACCAAGGCATGGCCCAACTCATACCAGAATCTGCCGCGTTCATTTGCCTCGATGTCACAGCTGTCCTCCACCATGGCGCTCGCGACAATTTGCTTATCCCTTTCTTGCAGGAAGAAGATGGACGATGGGCTCTTGGGCATGATGAGCAGACGTATAAGACCGAATGCCACGGCCGCGACACCCTCCTATCAATTCATATTGACTGGTTAGATTGCATTCAAAAAGCTAGAGAGATAACTCACTAGCAGAAAGATCCATGCATATCCCGACCTGTGGAGGAGGCCGTCCATGCGCACTATTCCGGCGGCGAGCAGACTCGATATGGAGGGCGATAAAGTGAGCGAGGCGAATATGATGGACATTCTGGGGAACATCAACACAGAGGGGGCGAGAGGAGAAACCAGCAGAGCCCACCTCAGTTCTAGCATGCGACGAGGGTAAAAACAGGAGAGATATACCATACAACCAGTAACGAGGGCTCCTACGAGAAGCAGAGCAGTATTGTCAACCTCGACGAATGAACGAGTTTGAGACGATACCTTCGAAAAGTGTAACGAGAATCCGACACGCGACGAATGCAGGGTACGTTGTCGCCACTCCTGTGCAACCGCCTTAGTGCTGAGTTTGGATAACGCCAATATACGGGGATATCACCTTGAAGAGCACTGCTGAGGCCCTGGAGAATCATAAAGATTGGCAAGAGGACATGCGGGCCGACAACCTAGCAGCGAACAAATGAATCAGGATACCGTAAACAACCTAAAATGGGCTCACTATCATCAGGAAGTTGGACGGAATCTGCATAACAATAAGTGGTCTGTATATGCTTGAGTCTCAGCATGGTCCTGCACCCATGACTGAAAGTCACCATCTAGGACGCACATGATGGAGGCCGTCATGGCGATACTAAACTGCGAAGACTGTCAGCGTCATCGTCCGAAATCGAAGGGTCGCCTACAGAGATGCACCTGTTCGTCTGAGATGCCCAAGGTCTGTTGAAGACCGGCGATCCATGCGTTACTAACGTTGCACGAATCCTGAAGGTCGTCGCTGAACAGTCAGTCAAGTGGTCAAACGAGAAGTGACAAACCAGGCCGATAAACAAGTAGATCATGACGACAATAGGGAGCACGACGAGGTCTAGCTTCAACCATACCCGGCTCGACCGTACAGAAGATTCCGGAACATTGAGCGCATGGTCAATCGAGGGTACGACTGCCTGCTCGAGGTGCCTGTGGGTAGCTTGTCGTCTGATCTCTTTATCGTCGCAGACTCGAGAGGGGGGTCCATGGTAAAGGAGCCTCGCTTGGATATAACCACGAGGGTAGCGAGTCAACGGGATAGAAGGAGTGATCCTGCGGCGCGTGGCTGAGTTGACGCGTTGAGGTTACGAGTCGCCGTCGAAGTCGCTGGGGCCGATGTCGAAATGCGGGCTGCGGGATCCTGGAGGCGAGAGGCGAATACGACGAGAGGAAGAGAGAGCTGCTATAATATTCTGGAGCGTCGGACCCGCTCTTTATACAACGCACGGCTCCCGCAGACCTTGCTCGCGACCGAGGCCCCACCACATCACTTGTGACTGTCGAGACGAGACGTTCTCGAGAACTTGAGTGCCCATGAAAAAGTAAACCAAATCCAGAATGCCGCACGCTCGGTATCACCAGGGAGACGAATCTGCGCGACAGTTGATCGAGACGTGGCCAGAGGGCCCGCGTCACTTGCTAGCAGAACGTCCGTCTCTGTCCGCAGCCTACCGTCCCCGAGGCTTGCACGTCTCGCTATGGCGTCGCCGTAGTCGGGCCAGAGAAATAAGTAATGATAAGAAGGGAGAATTCGTGCTCGGAGAAGAGAGCCCAGCGTACTTATGTACGTTCATGCCATGGAATCCGCGCTCGTCGTGCCCGACCCGAGTTTGAAGCTCCACAGCTATTCGCTCCTTTCTGCATTGAGTCCCGGTATGTCTTGATAAAAATGTCTAATATAGGCGTCGTCGTGAAGCCTTCCTGACTGGATTGAGAAGGGCGGAAGAGGAGAGGAGGGCGGAGCTCGGAAGGCGCGTCCGACTCGGAGTCGGAAGTCCCGCCACCACTGCAACACGGTCGCGAGAGTGCGCACTCGCCATTGATCAAGGCTTCAACTTGTCGGGCTAAGGAGTCGACTCGGAGATCCACAAGTGCAGTGGTATATCTGTGCGATTGAAAGGTTTAGACTACGGAAACTTCCCTCACAGCGGTCACTCCCAAGGCCGGAGGAGGTAAGGTCCATCACAAGCCTGGCCATGGGCGGATGTACCGCACAAGTTTTTGATGACTCCGATGAGCACCTGTGCAGGCATGAGTACTGCATACTAAAGAGTAACCTGACTGCAGACGTTATCCTAAGTCTGACAACGGCGACGCACCGGTACCGGCTTTACTGCGCTCACGTTTTGAGACAAAACACCGAAGAAGCGTAGACGGCTTCTCGTCGCTACCGCAGCGCCCCCGAATTGGAAACTTGGTATGCCAAACCCGCAACAAAAGTAAAACTGAAACGAGAGTTGGAGGAGCGATCAGCGCTCAGCACGCACATAAGTCCCGCAAGCATCTTGATCAGAGTACTAGAGTCAACGCCAACCAAGGACCGAGGTGAGTAGCGTCCGATTCGAACGTACATTTTTGTTTTTGTAGCATTTGTACGACTACGTTTGATATGACCCTTTTATATCGTCAATCAACATTACTTTAATCATGGGCGCTTGGCACAGTGGTAGCGCGCCTGCTTTGCACTACGTAATTGAATTACGTAATTCCGCATGCATGAGGTCGAGGGTTCAAACCCCTCAGCGTCCATATTCACTGCTCTAAGGACCTTTTTTCCTCAAAGTTCCTCCCCGCTTGGTCGCACACGCTGATCATACAGATACATAGAGTAATAGACAGGCACAAGGGTGAGATCTGAAAGCTCCGGCTCACTCGTTCCCAAAGTACTCCTCCACCAACGCCTTCTTCCTCAGCTCCAACAAGTACGCCTCCATCTCTTCCCTTGTTGGAAGCTTCGGCGGCATGAGTATTTCCGGCGAGAGGATGGGAATAAAAGCGGCCGTTCGCTTTGCGTGCGCGAGCATTGCCTCCTCCGTCGACGCCTCAGATGGAGGCGACGGAGATGCGCCGTCCGTCTTTGCACGTTTCGCAACTTCGGAGTCGGCCGCCATCTCCACGTCGCCGTCTTCGTCCGGAGCTTTGCGTTTCGGTTCGGGGGGGCCTGCTTGACTAACGTCTGTGACGGAGATGGCTACGTGTTGTTTCGCGGGACGGGGTATTGGGGGAACGGGCTCGTCAGTTGGGAGACCGAGCACTGTACGAAGGTGGTTATACGCGTCTTCCCATTCTGCGATAAGCATAGCATCAGTGAGCTGTTCAAAACAACTGGGAGAGGCAGAGCAGATAAGAGCAGAACCTGGAGACCGCGCATGAAGACGACAGAACATGTGAACCGTCAATCGCGCCACAGGGAGCAAAGTTGGAAGAACAAGCAGACGGGGCGTATGCTGAACCACGTACCTTCCTCCTCGGCATGCATCTCGAACTCCAGCAGCTTCCCTTCGGCGTCCGTTTCGTCCAAGTCTCCGAAGTACGCCGGGCCCTGGTTCTGGAACTTCTTGTAGTAGTTCTGAACCTTGTTCTCCTCGTCCTCCTCCGTCTTCTTGCTCATAAAGAGCTCCTTCACTCCTGGCAGCTCCTTCGCTCTCCCAAAGTACTTGTACCCCTTCGTCCCTGGCACTTCCTTCCCGTCGTCGTCCAACATGGCCACATTACGCCGATAGTTCGCGCCGCCGAGCGCGACTATTTGGTTCTCCCAATGCCGCTTCTCGCGCAACAGTCGGTTGATCTCATCGTTGAGGTCTCGCACCTCGTAGTCCGTCAGACCCGCTAGTGAGCATGGAAGGATTGTTAGTACGGATACGGGGAAGACGCATGAAAGATGGCATGACGCACAGTCCTGGATTTTCGACACCTTCCTGCTAATCTCGCGCAGAATCTCTCCTCTCCACCTCTCGCATTCCCGCAAGCTCTTGCATGCGCTGGCCATGCGCGGTCTCCGGTCGCTGCGAGTCCCCAGCCCAAGCTCGGCGGCCTGAGCCTCACGGAACCGGTAGAGCATGGATTGTGCCTTCTCCTCATTACGAGCCTAGAGCAGCACAATTTTCAACACCATGTAATAAAAACGCAAGGAGATGTATCGCGAAACTCACCATTTTGCAAGCACAGTGCCGGAAGACAAGAGGGTGGATATAGAGGAGGTGAGCGGCGAGCGCAAGTCGCGGAGGGTTCAGTGAGGCGACAAGCGCCGCGCCCTCTCGCTTGCACTGCATTTTGCCCTTTTCGGGTCCACCAAACGTCCGCCTGAATTTCCTCGCCCCGTTCTCGCAGCTTGCTTGTGTCCTAGACTCGCTGCTTGTGTGCTAACCGCCCGATTGAAGACAACACTGAGTCCGTGCAAGCACCTCTACAATGGCGGCAGTCTTGCTCTCAAAGTCTGAACGCGCATACATCCAATCCTCGCTGAAGGCGACTCCTCCATTACGTGCGGACGGGCGGGGTCTCCTGGACTTCCGCACCGTCCTCCTCGAGACTGGCGTGGCGCCACTAGCAAACGGCAGCGCAAGACTGAACATCGGCAAGATGGCGCGCGAGGGCGGCGGCGGGACGGAGATAGTCGCGGCCGTCAAGCTCGAAGTCGAGGATGTCGAGTCTGGAGATGGGGTCGACGGCGGACGAGTAGCATGCTCGGTTACTTGGTGCGTAACATCACACGCTCCTGTCTCACTGCGGTCCAACACGTCAATTCTTGCAAGGTAGCTCCCCAGCTGCATATCCACATCTTTCATCAAATGCACTGGACGAGTTGCAGCACGACCTCACCGTCATCCTGCAGCAGACCATCGGACATCCGTCTCTACACCCGCGGAACCTCACCATCATCCCGCGGAAGAAATCGTGGCTGCTCAACCTCGATGCGGTCGTTCTGGCTGATGCCGGAAACGTCGTCGACGCGCTCTTCATGGCGGCGCGCGCAGCACTGTGGGATGCGAAGGTGCCCCGGACTCGCGCAGTCCAGTACCGCGCTCCAGAAACATTGAAGTTTACCAAGAACAATGCACCGGGCGCGATGGATGTCGACGAGGGCACCAGTGGTTTCGACACTCGAGATATGGCCCGGACGGCGGCGGACTTCGAGCTTCCCGACTACTGGGACGAGGGAGAAATACTCGACGGCCGGGAAAAGTGGCCCATCTCCGTAACATTGAACCTCGTACGTGCCTCCTCTTACTCTCACAAAAGGCCCATGATACTTACTGTACGCGTCTCCAGCTCCCACCAGTACATCTGCTGGACGCGACACCGGCAGAAGAAGCATCAATCCCCCAACGTCTGCACTTGATGTTCTCCTTTGTGCCCTCTGCACCCCCGACCTTGCAGGGTATGCGGTTATTGGGCCCGGCAGAGCTGGATCTAACGGATCTGAAAGACTCCATAGCGGTCAGTGTGCACCACACATCCAGTAAAACTTGACTGATATGCGGAATCGTAGGCTGGCGAAAAGTATGCGAAGGAGCTGTTTTCCGCGTTGGAGACCAAGTTGAGGGAAGAGGACAACAGACGGAACATCAAGGCGAGGGACAGATTCGCCCTCATGCGATGATGTCTGCGTGCATTTACAAAAGTATTGTATCTTTGTATTCTACGCCGTATCCCGCTTCCCTTCTGTTATCTCGTGATCCCTATGGTCAAAACTGAAAGCAACATACACGGCCGGCGCTGTCGCAAGATATTGGTTTACTCGCATATATACGTGAGCAAGACGACCTTTCCTCTAATGACGAGTCCTTCTCTCACCTTCGCGTAGTACCACTTATGCGTTCTTTCGAAGGTCAGAGGATTTGAAGCAGATCGGGAGTTTCCATAGCGCAAAGTGTACCAAGACAGATTCATACAAGCTCATGCACATAGTCTAACATAGAACTAGTCCATCCGTATAACATTACATCCCCAGATCCCGAATACCGCGCGTACGCGTCATACGTGCACATCCCTCCTAGCGCAGAAAGCCATCACGGACTCCTGCCCAGATACGCCAGCAGCCTACAGGTCAATCAACAACGCCTCTTTCCTCTCCGGCTCAGGTGGCGCATACTGAGGAAGCGAGTTCGGAACCTGCGGGAAGTTCGGCATGGGGACCGACATCTGCTGGAGGTGCTGCAGTTGCGACGGATTGTGCGACGAGGCTGGGACGGACAAGGTGTTCGAGCGAGCGAGGTAGCCGTTCGGCGCGGCCGCGGGCGTTTGCTGCTGTTGGTAGCCGGAAACGGTGTTGTGCCGGGATAGTGAGGGAGCAGAGGGGCTCTGAGTCTGCTGGGGTTGCGGTTGATAATCCACGGGAGGTGGAGGAGGAGCAGAGGCACCAGCGGGTGGCTGGAAGGATACTGGTAATGGTGCGGCAGCAGGGGTAGGGGCAGTGCCGTACTGGGACACGCTGACAGGCGGAGGGGACATGGCGCCGTAAGGCAGACCTTCCTGGCCATACCGAGGTTGAATCGAAGGCGAGCTCGGGGACAAGACAGGAGCGGTTTGCGGCTGGTACATCTGGTGCTGGGGCTGCTCTGAGGGAGGGGACGTAATGTAAACACCACTTGGTTGAGGAGCAGGGGTTGGGGAGAAGTACGACGACGGTTGAACGGGAGTCGCAGGTACTTGCTGTGACGAGGGCTGCGGTTGCCAATGCCCGTACGTGCCGTTAACGGGATGGTACTGTGGAGCGTATGCACCGGTGTCTTGCCGAGGAATAGCGGAGGGACTTGCTCTCCACGAAGGGCGGGATAGTTGCTCAGTAAGGAGCTTGTCGTACAGCTTCACCGCTTGCGAGAGCTTCTCGTGCATCTCAACCAACATCTCTGTGGAGAGACTGAGCGAAGAGTCTGAAGCAGAAAGGAATGGTACTCACCTTCTTTCCGGCTCGTGTCGTTCAAGCTCATAGCGAGCTTGGGCCGCAGAGCATTTGCCTTGTCAAACAATTCCGTCACTGCTGGGTACCTCGAGAGGTCCCTCCCTCCCTGTGCCTGGACTTGTTCTACTGTCTGGTTGAAGGTCAGGATGGCATCCTCCTCCAACGGCTCAAGATCGTAGCTGGGTATTTGTGGCAACCTCGGCTTGGGAGTGGCACTCGCTGGGGGATACGATTGAGCATAGCCGGGACCGGGGGACGAGATGTACGGGGATCGGTCTGAGACGTCGATGACTATGGGCGCGCTCGGCTTCGGCGCGTTCGCTTCTCGCAAACTAGCTTCTATGGCGGCCTTCAGGTCTGGGTCCTCTTCCTCTTCATTGCGAGTATGAGAGGACGTTGCGTAGGGGCGCGTCGGGCGGTCGACTATCGGCGGCTCGGATGATTGCCAAGGGGTCGGGGAGGGTACGTAACCCGGGCGATGGCCGCCAGCCGAACCAACTTCTTCTAGTGAGAGTTGAATGGCGCGCTGCAACTCCGCGTCGTAGAGGTCGCGTGCAGACCGATGTCGCGAAGTAGAGACGCTCTGGGATGATCGGTGCGTCCTATGGTAGATGGCGTTAGGAGCGTGCTGGACAAGGAGAGAGGTTGTGACGTACTTCTGGGACTTCTTGTTCAACAAGGTATAGCAACTGTCGCAGACACGGACTTCCTGTGCAATCCCAAAGTGGGGCAGTGGCATTGACTTCGATGAACACTTCTGGTCGAACACTCGACCGCAGTTGCGGCAGTGATGTTTACGGTTTGTAAACGTGAAGGGGTCGCGGCAGCGGAGGCAAACGTCCGA